AAAAATTTCGGGATTGAGCACTCTGGTTCAGCCGCAGTTGACATCCACCGAATGTTGAGTGGAGCACCCTGCACAATCAAAGTCAACTCAGATCACGAGAAAAACCGGAGACGCTTAAAACTCCAAAATCTTAACTAATCTCATTCATCGGGTGAAATATGACATGAAACACAGAGGGAAATAAGGAAACCCAGGGTTATATCAAATGTTCTGCTCGCAGGGAATTTTCGTGGAAAGTATTTCAGGTCTAAATCGCTACCGCATCATTAGGTAAAATCTGAAAGTTGTTGCGAAAGCTGCATCCCTATGTAGGCAATGCAATAATTCAAGTTCAGCAGTTTGTGGACATTGCAAACTGAGTTTTGTGGTGCAAAAGTGCGTCAACCCTATATTGAGCTTAGAGTCTCCGTCAAAAACAGCGATTACGCAGAGTTTACGAATGCGCTTTTCACCTCATCTATCCCGAAGGGTCAGTAGAATCCTTGATTATCATTTGAAATAAACAAGAGCTTGAAAATCCTTCAGACCAGTTGTTTTTTGAAGCAGATTGACTTTTGGTGCTATTGAAAGCAAAAAATGCAGTGATCGCTTCTAATTGAGTAGGAAGACAGACCATAGGTGTTGCAAATGTTTCATATTTTGGGATGTAATTGTAAAAAAAATTTGAGAGTCAACGAATGCGATAGTGATTAGAAAAACCAGGTGGCTTTATAATTTTGTCCAGCTTCCAAAGAGGACTTTTTCGAATTTTTTCGTTTTTCTCCGTTCAAACTCGATAAGACTGGAAGCCGTTTTAAGGAGTCATGGTAGGTTGTGCGCACAACACAGCAAAGTTTCAGACAGATTCAATGACAAGAACGAAAATTACGGCAATTTCTAGAGTGGCTTTATAATTATGTCCAGCACTGTATTAGATATAGCTGGCATACCCGGCTCCGCCCGGCCCTGTCGATGCATGTGGAATGAAATCAAATCACCATGCTCTACTTCCGTACAATTAACTCATCCGTCCCACCTCTATAGCACCCTGCCTCCACTGTGCTTTCGTAGCCAGCATGCTCACTTACTCCCCCCCCCCCCCCCTCATGTGCCAACTCCAGCCCCGTAGCTCAAACTTTGCAAAGAATTGATAAAGCCGTTAAAGATAACCGATATTTTCAAAAAATGATATTTTACTCGAAATCGGCATGCTCACTTACCCTCTAAGCCAACTCCCAGCCCCATAACCCAACGTTTGCAAAAAAAACGATAAAATCGATGTAATTGAATAATGTAATGTAATTGGAAAGGGGCCTATGGCACCCCCCCCCCCGCTCCGAAGTGTATGTATGCAAAGTTGGTCCGAATAGGTTTGAAAATGGAATTTCCTATTCGGAACATACGTACACACAGGCAGACAGACAGACAGGCAGACAACATACAAACAGACAAACATTCAGCTCTATATATTAGGTCGTCCCGAAGTATTTTCGCTTTTTTAGATGAACGTCACATTTCGTAGAACAAGAGTTCCTAAAAGGTCTGGGCAACATTCGATGCGCATTTCATTATCTTTCTAATGGTTATGAATAATCAGTGAGATCTTGAAATTACCAAAACACGATCCATGATTTTTGCCATGGTCAACTTTTGCTGTTTTTCTGAAATTGTACCGATCACGCAAATAAATCCAAATAGCAAATGCTAGAGCAAACCCTGCAAGACATAAAACAATTTTTCTCTTTTTCCATAACTCGTCATAGTCTTTCAATAGAATTTGAACTGATTTTACCTATTTCCATACTTGGTAAACTAAAACCTCGAACATCAAAGGGCAAATAGCTCGGGTACTACTCGGCGTAGTTTTTCCTCTTTTTCTAATGTGTGTTTCTTTTTTCCAATTAGTGGAGGTCTTCAAGGATAAACTTACCATTATTCGTTCGTGTTCTCGGGTAGTACAGCCCTGGGCTCACCCGAAAAACTTGGAATTTCATAATTTGAATCTGTAAGCTCTTACCTGCTTTGTAAAATTGGTGTGAACTCATAATACCATCTTGAAAATTTCAAAATCTGAGGAGCTATTGGTGTTTGATGCTATCATAGCTGACGTACGCCTGCGAAAATCCGATGATTCTAGTAAAAAAATTTTTTTTTCAGAAATTATGGCGAGCTAAGAAAAAGAGAAACAAGTTGTACTGTCATGTAAGGTCTGCTCTATCAACTTTTCGCATTTGAAGAGAACGAATTGCTGCATCGAATGCTACCAATATCTCTTGAAAATTTGTGTTCTACGGAACTGTGGCGGTTATTTAAAAAAAACGAAATTACTTCCAGAACGAATCAATATAATATGACTACGATTTGTTCGGTAAATGGCTATGTTTTCATTTGATTGTTTTTGGTGTTCACCTACGCAATGCATTGGCCTGTTTCTGCTTCATCCCTGATCAAACTCAAACCATAAAGCACTTTGATTCAATATACTAAAACACCACGTTTGCAATCAGTGTGAGTAAATTGTCTAGCAGTACACCAAAGACAGCTGTTCTTGGCCTACGTTGCTTATGTAAGGGTGTCCTAAAAATATGTATGCATCGTTCAATTGTCAATATCTCTCTTCGCAAGTGCTCAAAATTCCTTTGAACATTAGTGAGCTGACTTGTACTTTATCACTTCTCAAACTCTGCAACTATGTAAAAGCTCTTATCTCTTGCAGCTATTCTATCTATGGCATAAGCCAAGAGCTCTAAAGTTTGATTTTGCAGCATTGTAAATCAAAATCTTCGAGCAGTTTTAATCTCGCAAGTATATTACAGAGCGCTGCAAACCTTCTCTGAATGTAGTTTTGCAAGCCTAATCGCCAAGAGTCAAGATAATTGCTTATGGTCTGTAGTAAACCTCGTCATCACAACTCTACTGAGGGGGGCTTATGTACATAGGGCACCTCAGCGGTAATTATGCTATCAATCTTGAAGCGGACACCACTCCGTAGAAAAGATAGACTAGTCTGTTTTAAATAAAGAAAAGTTTCGTGAAGGTTAGCTGAGTGATTAAATCATTGCTTTCCAAACCACAAGCACGCCTGAAGAGCGATTTTTTCATCACTCCTCTCCTGCCTAGCCCCGAGATTGTGCAATTACCCGTTCTCGTAATGAGATGACGTTGTCTAACGCGTCTAAAGAATTGCTCGCTAGCAACTTACAGGATTTTTCTCATTCTTTGCTTTTGCACATTATGTCCTCACTATTTTCAACTTACAACTTACCTACTCTTGGCATCGCGGAAAATTAACCGCCGTGCATAACCAGGCGGTATTTTTACAGTTCATTCTGCCATCCTGAAGCATGCAAATGTATGTTGTCGTAGCTTTAACTTACGAAGTTTTTCTGAGGCGGTCAGTTTATTAACCTAGCTAACTGCGGTTGACTGCGGTCCTACAAATATTTTGAAAAAGAGTTAAGAAACTGAAACATTCTAAAACAATTTTATGTGCACCTGGAAAGGGCTTCGCACTGCTAAACTTGGGTAGAAGACATTAGGTCGTCGAAAGGGGCGGTCCCAAGACTTTCGCAGCAGAACCTTCACCGTTACTGTATCATGCTTTCTGTGCGCATGGGCGGGGCTTGATGGCGACCTAATGACATACAGACAAACAGACATTCAGCTTTATATATAAGATGCCAGATATCACGTGACAACCGTTCTTTTGATGTTCCTCTGAATTTTGAATACATCTTTTGGAGTACCCCTGAAAATTCGTAAATTTTATGTAGTGAAATCAGCAATCGTGAATTTATTTCAACTTTTCAGATTTATTAGAAGTTTTTTTTTCTTGGCATTATACAGTGGCGCCATACGCTGCGAGTTTCTACCGTAATACTACAGTAATCAAAAGCGATCGGCATTTCATTTTATACCGTAATTTCAAGTTAATGGCAGCTCTTTACCTTACTGCGAAAGACAATAAAATAAAAGGTTATTAATGACCAAACAATAGAAGCATTTATTAGGACACCCTTATTGCACATATTACAGTGCAAACAGATGTGCGTAGGGGTTTGTTTGCGGACATTCATATTATTCCTTAATTTATGTTTCTCTATAAAAAGCTGTTTATCGTATGCAACTGCTTGCCTCTGTTCCAGTTTCATAATACGGGATCAAGCATGTAGAGGTCAGAAAAGAATTGAACCTAATATAATATATTAGGTGGGTGCAAAAGTTTTGTCGTTTCATTTTCAAAAATGTGTAACTTCGCCAGATTTCAATGGATTTGCTTGCTTGTAATTTTGTTGGAGAGAATAGGTCTTCCGCTTTCAAGCGCTGTTTTGTGGAGCTTCTGTTTCGCACTGAGTGCCGAGATAAAAATGGAAAAGTAAGACCATGTAAACTTTGACCATTTTAAGTTAGGTCACCAAAATTCTGGAATGCTGCAGAAAAATCTGAAATCGTCAGTACATATGTTTTTTGGCCTACTCTTTGCAACTGTAAAAAATTTGTGCTGTTTGGACGTCTCTGTGAGAAGTTATGATTTTCGCGAAAGTTCACAAATTAATTGATTTTGGCGTTTCCCATGGTAAACTCGATATTCATAACTTCTCACGGAGACGTTTAAACAGCAAAAACTTTTCACAATTGCAAAGAGTAGGCCAAAAAACTTATATGCTGACAATTTCAGATTTTTCTGCAGCATTCCAGATTTTTGGTGACCTAACCTAAAATGGTCAAAGTTTACATGGTCTTACTTTTCCATTTTTATCTCGGCACTCAGTGCGAAACAGAAGCTCCACAAAACATCGCTTGAAAGGGAGGACCTACTCTTTCTAACAAAATTACAAGCAAGCAAATCCGTTGAAATCTGGCGAAGTTACAAATTTTTGAAAATGAAACGACAGAACTTTTGCACCCACCTAATATATTGGTGATAGACAAATACTTACTAAAAAGTATCTCCTTTTTTCTTGCGCAGTTATTAGAGAGAATTGATTCGCTTGTTGAAACAAGTTTTTTTTCAGTGAAACATGTTCTTTAAGCTCATCCTTATTTTGGTTCTGCTGCAAGTTGTAGCTGCGTGGGCACCCGTGGGCAGAGGAGAAGTTATGGCTACGCTGCAATCTTTGGGAAGCTATGACCAGGCGAAAAACAAAGCTGCGATGAAACCTCCGAAGGCATCTAAAAAAGAGGCGCTTGCGACGAAAGCTACCAAAATCAATGGTGTTGCGGGGAAATCTCTCAAGCACAATAAAACCGAAATTGTGGAGAAAATTAAGACCCGACTTGCTGATATGGTGAAATCCTCCGGAGAAAGTATTTCTGCTTTGATGAACAAGCCCCATACCACTGGAGCTATGCGTTATAGACTAGCAATGAAAGCGAATAGTCAGAAACTTAGAGTTGTCCCTGAGGTATGGGTCTCCACTTCTCGAATTTGTGCTTTGGATCTAATACTATTGCTTACAGTGTCGCAATCAATACTGCTGCGGAGAGTGCAGTGGAAACCATACATTACATACTGGACCATGGTACAAATGCTACGGTGACTGCAACAAAAACCATCCCGTAAAAAATAAAGATTATCGACCTGCCGCGCAAGCGGCATAACTCCGCTATTGAACATTTTATGAAGTTTATAAAGTTTACCTTTGCACCGAGCTGCTATTTGCCGAATTTATTTGATAACTCTCAGGCCGAGAGGCATTGTTTTGCCCAGTACCAAGATAAGCTCACGTTTTCAACGGTTGCTCAATGAACATTATGAAACTACTAAAAATTAAGTTTTTTGCGTGATGCAATGCTCAGGTTCGGCCTTTGGGTAAGCTTGAGTGATTGTACACACTTATTCTGGACGCCAACGCAAGCGGTTTGAAACAATGAATTTAAGCACAACAAGTTTATCGCAGAAATGAGCACACATTGTACTTCAGACATAATTTCATCATTTCGGATTCACTTTCCTCAAATACATGCAGCGATGTTAAACAACGCGAAAGTCCATAAAAATATTTTGAAGAAGTGAACCATCATAGCCTCTCGCTACAATCGCTCACGCAAGTTGGTGCTGATGAAACATGTTTGATTGAATTTGGTGCAATCTACAGCAAAATCAATGAATTTTAGGTATTTCAAGTTTAACGCTGACAGATATGACACTAGGTTTTGGCTAATTTTTTATCAAATATATGCTATCAAGCAAATTTGCTTCCTTACTGATTACACCATGACGAGTATCAAAAACTTTCGTTTTCGCTTCCATAGGCAACTTTATCAGTTCGAAATGCAGTTTTTTCCAGTGCTACCACTCTGCGTGTTCAACTGTTTGGTTTTTTTCAAAATTTAAATTTTCACAACATTAAGTCGAAAAGCTCAAGTGAAATAAGGATGCGGGGTGCTGTCCGATAGAGTAACAAGATCCACATAATGGCGTGTGAGCGTCCGTACCAGCTTCGCCGCACCTCGAGTTAGACGCCGAAATCTAAGAGTTTGAGATGCCCGGAAAATTAAAAAAGAATTTTATCTTCGTTCTAAACAAGCTTCCCGGATCCTCACCCGCTCACCCATATACACTCCACATAAGACATTCATAAACGCCGTTGCTGTATTTGCATCTGCCTAGAAACTAAGAAAACTAAAACTTCCAATGAAAAGGTAATTCTGTTCGCACATAAATGAATGTATACTACTTGCCTTCGGAGAAAAACCGCAAGTTTTCAGTTTCCTAGAAGCTCTATCTCGAAAATATGGGAATCGGCTTCCTTGCTAGATTTATCATGTAAAAGTTAACATTTCTCGGTAACTAGAGCTCGTAGGAAGCTGCACATCTTCTGTTTCACTTCTACAAGCTTGTAATATACATTATCTTATGTGCGAACAACACAGAATCGCTTTTGAAGCCTAAAATTTTAGTTTTCTCGGTTTTTAGCGCGCAAAGAAATACAGCAACGGTTTATGTTGGTGTCTCATGTAAGGTGTAAACCATGAGCGAATGGGAAACCTGGTAAGTTTTGTTTCAGACAATGATATGATCTGTTCCATTTTCCGGGTATCTAAAATCAGATTTCGGTCAAATCAGATTTGAGAAGTCTGGGACTTGTTACTGTCAAGCGGCTGCTAATACGCTGTGCAGTGAGTTAAACATACACTGACTGTCCCAAAAAAATAAGCACACTGTTTAATCGTTAATAACTCCCTTGCTTTCATGTCTTTTGCCGGGCTTGAGTTACCAATTTGTAGAGCGAGGTTCAGCTTAGATTTTTAGTATGGGGCAAACCATCAGCCCTTCTTCGTAGGATTACGGTATAAACTTTCAGCATGCGTCACTGTGCAATAGGCTTTTCTATGAAACAATTTTAAAAAGTCTGAATATTTGTGTAGCAAGGTCTTCAGTCTTGCTAATTTCTTTACATAACTATCCACCAGTCTTTCGAGCTTACTTGATGGCGTAATCACATTTCTGATGAACACTGGAAAAATGGCTGATACTCTAAATCTGGAATCACTCATGAGAGCAGCACTATACTGAAGTGCAGTTATTCAAAGTAAGCGACTTCGACTAACCCAGTTCGAGAGTTTCTGGCTTGTTTAATTTTCCTTCTGAGGCAAAATAACGCTTTCAATGGCTTAAAATCCTTTTCGGAGTTCCTACCGTAATCCTACAGTAATAAAGAGCGACTGATAATTCGCTCCATACTGCAAAAATCTAAGTTGAACCTCTCTCTAAAGAATGGTACCCTCAAGCCCGGCAAAAAAATGAAAGCAAGGGAGTTTATTAACGATGAAACAGTGTGCACATCTTTTTGGGACACTCTGTATAACTCTGAACGTTAGAACTTTATAAGAAATTTGTAAACTGCATTTTACTATAAACCGCATTTTATTTCGCATATGGTTACCGAACAACAGTAGGTAGTTTTAGCAAAGTTTTTTTTGCCTTCAGGAAAATATAATTCTTTAAGTCATCTATAAGTTCAGTAACAAATTTCAACCAATGTTATAACTCAAACTATTCCGTACTACCGCGATATTCAGGTTACCTACAATTATGGTAGTAGTCAATATCTCCCAATTTTGACAAGTTCCTTGCCTGTGTGTCTTTTTTCATCTAATATCTCGCAAACTTGTGCAAAACGACTTGCTTACTGAGTTGTAGATTTCAAGGCAGGCGCCATACTCTAGTACCCGTTAGCAGAGCGTTCGTTTACTTTCTTATTTTGACAAATTCCTATTGTTTTTGAATGATAGGCCTCAATGGGAATCTAATAGAAAAATTTCAAAATTTTAAGTGTTGACCTGGTTCAAAAAACTGATGATGCTTGAAAGCTGGGTATGAACCGGCAAAGAGGTAGTTACCAAGATGATCAGAGATCTTCGTATCTGCTCAGAATAATGAAGTTGGAAGTTGCGCAGCTCGCTCAAATGTTCAAGCTTTCTGTGCTGCGAATCCTTGTGATTTGTGTTGTTTAGTGGTTAAACATTACCACAGTGATCCCTTTGTTAAGCTGTGGTACTCTTATACAGTATTCTTATTTTATCGATCACAGTAAACTCGTAAAAATCCCTGGTAGATGATAAGTCAAATCGCGCTCGTGTATGAGAACAGGAATTTGGCAAAGGTCTACTCCCCAGCTGAAGAAGGAGCCATTTGTTACTTTATCGAGGGATACCATGACATAGTCTAGACGATTCACCTGCTTGGGTTTTTTTTACGTTTTTTTTCGTTCGGCACACGCGTATGTAATAATAAATAAATAAATAAATATTCGTAATTAATATGTCAGATAATCACCACTGGGCAAGTTTGAGGAGAATTCACAAGCTTGAACGACCCGTCAGACTCTGCCGAGAAAAGCCCAAAAGCGCCGAAAACCGCTCAAAAGCGCTCAAAAAAGCCCAAAAGCGCCCAAAAGCGCCAAAAAGAGTCGGAGCGCCATCTTCCGCGCGCACGCTTTGGCGCTATAGCATGTGTATTGATTTCGCAACCGAGTCTTTTTGGTTCATTTTGTGTCGTGTGCACAACAAAACAATGTCAGAATTCTACCAAGACTTTGTTTCTGCGTTTTGGCTCTTTCTGGCCCTTCCGGGCTTTTCCGCGCTTTTTCGGACTTTTTTAGGCTTTTCGGACTTTTTTTGAGCCCTTTTGGGGTTTTCTCGACGAAGAACGCCGGGTCCCTAAAAACTTGCGGTCCAGTTCCAATAGCTCCCTCTTTTATTACGGAATATGGGACCATGAGTCAAATGGGAATGTGGAAATCGCTCAAGGGAAGTGCGGAACACGAGAAGCGAGATCTTGTCAAAGTACAAAAAAAACCATTTATACCTTCAGCAATTACGATTCCTACATGTGTCCGTATACATAAATCTTTTGAGAAAGAAAGGTTCCTACTTTACATTTGCCTTTCCTCATGAAACATAGATGGAAACACCCGTCTCAGAACCTTTGCTGAAGAGGTTATGAACATTTTTTGGTAAAATTTGTGTGTTACTGTCATAATCATAAGTGCGAGCCAAGTTGCCTGTTTTAGCTACCACCGAACAACATCGACGGTTATACGTTATTGCACTCACATTAATGGATATTTAGTGAACAAAAAAGCAACAAATCTTGCATTGCCTTGGTGCAACTTTGTCATCTAATATTCTTTTATAAAAAAAAAAGAAAATACCCTAATTTCGCGCGTACAAGGCGCGGGGTGGTCCTAGCTTTCATCGAGCAGCTCAGCCGCCCCAACGTGTTTTAAGAAGCGATCCTTATGCCGCACGATTCGTCAGGCAAAACGCAGCACGGTATGGGGTTCCTTTGGTTGCGAATTCCTTTGCCGTGTTCGCGCTGGTCGATGAAAGCTAGGACCACACCGCGCCTTGTACGCGTGAAATTAGGGTAGCTTCCCAGAGAGCAATCATAAATTTGAAATTTGTTGTTCCGACATTGGCAGTGGTGTCGGAGTGTGGTGCGGAAGGCGACAATTCCCGCTTTTGTGCCTATCAAAAACTCTCCGGTGTCAAAGTGACACCCCGGGGGACTACGGGGTGGGGGTGGGGGGCAGATAGTACATTACTTAATGCCACAAGTAGAAACCGTGAAAATCATTGAGACGGATGATACACAGCCTCCATTTTTCGCCGATTGTCGCCTTCTCCCCCTCCCCCCCCCCCCCCCCCCCGAAGTTCTGTGGTCATGGTAGACCCATGCAGCCAAAGTGGAGTCTTCACAAAGAATTTGAGAGGTGTATAATTTAGTAAAAGCTCTACATCATGATCCTTGATTATTCATACAATTACATTTTATGGAACTCTTGAAAATCAACCATTTGTGAGTACTCTAAAACAAGATCTTCGTTCAGAATAACTTGCAAACTTCCTATTCTGCCATCTGCAGTAAACTCATCAACATACATGCTGCATTATACGGCTAGAGATTGAAGGGCAAAAATAGCCTTTCTTACTAACGACATCTTGGCTGTCTTCTTGTGTTCTATAATGTGAACCTTTTAGAGAACAATCCAGAAATTAGTATTTTGTTGTATTAGAGACTTTCGAAAAATATGAATTTTGTAAGAAACCAGACAAAGCTACATCTTCGCCCAGTTTGCTTTCTAATCCTGAGT